TGTGCTTTATTAAGCCACTAAGCCACTGGGACCCGATCCAGGTATTTAATTTCCGATTTAGTTTCTATTTCAGTGCCGTCTATGTTGCATACCTCATGAGAGCCAAACAGTTTGTTTAGGTGGGATTTATGCCTAAAGGTGAAATTGACTGTTTGGCATTTGGAGGGGTTTAGAGTAAGACCATTTTCCTTGGACCACTGGTTGATTTCTGACAGAAAGCCATTAAGTTTAGAGCAGTCGCTTTGACATTTGATAGGCAAAGATACAGACAGATCGTCAGCGTATTTGACAAAATTAATGTCATTTGAAGATGGTAAGTCATGTAGAAAGAAAGAAAAGAGAAGTGGGGAGAGTACAGCGCCTTGGGGGACTCCGGCTTCAGTGAGTGCAGCAGAGTATGATTTACCTTTGTATACGGTGTACTGCATTCTGTTTGAGAAGTAGGAATGCAACCAGTTAGTGACCCAGGACTCAGTTTTCGTCAAAGAGAGCTTATTTAGCAGGAGACATCTAGGAACAGAGTCGAAAGCAGAAGTGAAGTCAAGAAACGTGCAGCGGACGTATTTGGCACCTTTATCTAATGATGAGACGATGTTGTTGTGTAAGACAGCTGCAGCGTCTAATGTACTCCTACCCTGTCTATAGGCAAATTGTTTTGGGTCTTCGAAGTTTTTAAGGGAGGGTTCGAGTTTAAGAAGTATTAGTTTTTCAATAAGCTTTAGGAACGGGGAAGTGATGGCAATGGGTCTGAACTTTACGTTCTTGCCGTTTCCAGGTTTGGGGACAGGGACAATTTTGATGTCTTTCCATGCATCAGGTACGATATTTTTGGAGAAAGAGGCATTTAGGATGTTGGTTAGTGGAGAACACAACACATCTGCACATTGTTTTAGAACATAGGCAGTTATACCATCAGGACCTAGGCTACGTGAGGGCTTGAGTGTTTTAAGACATTTTAGAACATCGAGAGTATTAAAGTCATGAAAGTTTTCAGCTACATGATAGGTAACATTAGAAGTAGTTAAGGTAGAAGGACAGCGTATAAAAGACTGATTAAGAGCATTAACATCATAAGAGGGAAAAGTATTACAACGCTTACTATTACCAGTAATTTCATTAAAAAGTTTCCACATACTGATTGGAGATTTACATGATAAAAGTGTATCATTATATATAGCATTAAGATTTTTGATCTCAGATTTGATTTGAGCATTAATCTTTTTGAGTCCTAACTTGTCTTTGGATTTGCATAAAGTTTCTTTTTTCCTGCGAAGTTGTTTGAGATAAGGAGATGAGAAGCGGTCGAGACGTTTGAATAGAGTTTGTTTGGGACAGCATATATCAAGGCAAAACTTGAGATAATCCGTTATATTGACGATTGTGTCATCTAATGAACTTTCATGGAATAAATCCCAGTTAGTGTCTTTTAACATGCACCTTAGATTGAGTAAGTTTTCGGATGAGTAGCATCTTTGTTGTGCTTTCATAGACAGATGCGAGAAGACTTTAATATGTGTTTTGCTGTAAATTTTTGGTAGAACACGAACAATAGAGTGATCAGAGTTGAGGATCGGTGCATGTTTACGTGCTTCATAGATTCCTTCGTCATTTGTAAAAACTAAATCCAGTGTTTTGTCTAGTCGAGTGGGAAATTTGACAATGTTAGAGTGACCAAGTGCTTCAAGGAAGGAGCAATCTGACGAGTTGAAGTCCCCAGTAATAACAGATAGAGAATTATCGAAGTTGGCAGCAGAAAACATGGTGAATTCATCAGCAAAATTTGAAAGATTAGATAGTGAGCAACTTGGAGAAATGTACATGTTTGTGATAAAGATGTGTTTGTATTTGGGGAGATGTTTCGGACGACATTTGACGGTGAATGCCTTTACCTCATAAATCAGAAAAGTGTTTCTCTAACTCGCCTATTTACTTCGTGAAGACGTGACTTATTCCAACCAGACTTATTGAAAATTGTGACAGTCTGAGCGCATGGTGAAAACCGAAATATGTTTTCACTCAGGTTTGCTGACTAAGTCACTGAGAGATAGATTTAGCTTAAATTATCGCCGGTATTTTACGTCGTCTGATGCTGTACTAACGTTTCTCAATCGAACCTATCCTGCTTATTTCTAAAATTATTTCAACTTTGTAATTATTTTAAAAAAGGTTGCTTGCAAGCCGAATATACTTTTTCCGTATAAGTGTTGGAGAACAATTGCGGATCAAGGCTGCTGAATTCTCAAAGCATCAGTTAGATCAGACAAGATTATTTGTACGTCCTGAAGGACCGAGTGATATCAACAGACCGCCAAAAGGTAAGACTTAGAACGTATATAATAATGATATTCCAGGGTGTTTGGTATTGAAATGTATGATTTACTGATAATAATACTTTTATCATCGAGGCTGATACTTTTAATTGAATCGATGAAGTCCAGTGTGCCACCGAGGTTGTATCTCAACAGCTTTTCCTTTCTCGGTCCAAGAATCTTAACCAACCACTTTGCGATTAGGTGGTATGACGTATTAATCATGTCTAATATTGGGTGTACGGAGTGGGACGTCCCTTTTGTGCACTTTGGGTAGTCCGTACATTCGTGGCGATGTAGAATCAAATTGGGTGAAAAGAAAAATTTCTACGCTGCAACCATCTTTTTATTATTCCCTATGATCAAATGTATCTATTCCGTGATATGAAAAAGAGCAAGGACCGTTCGACGGTAAAGGAATTGAACAAGTTACTACTCTGTCCATGCAAAGATTTCCCTCTGAAAGAGCTGTTTAGATAAGCATGAATACACAAAAGCATTCTGAAAAAATCTGAGACGAAACCATATATCTCCCAATTCACGCACGCTGAGAAGACACACCCAGAATCACATTGATGCCTTTCTATCCAGACTAGCTGAACGGGAACACAATGTCTCAATGAGCTCCCATATTCTCTACGATTTGATTGTTGGTGAACGTACGTCATTCTAGAAATACGCCAATACAGTTACAGAGAAGAGAAAAGATGATATCCTCACGAAACTTAACCAGAGCCTAAAATCCGTCACCAAGAAAACAGCTTTTCTGTCTTGTCTTGAAAAATATGTATTCAATTATTCCGACGTCTCACTTTCGCCGAATCAAATGTAACTCTTGTCTCTTGGACCGAAATTTTTTAATGCGCTGACAAAATTAAACGAATGGAACACCAAAGTCCAATTTGAGAATTGAATTATTCAGACGAATGATCTAGTCCCAATCTCATCTGACAGTGTAGAATATTTCAAATCAACTGTGTTGAATTGCTGCCTTGATTACATCAACAAAAAACCTAGTTTTCGTAATATGCTCTCAAAAGAATTGAAATCAAATGAAAACCTGATAATAAGTCGACTAGACAAAGGTTCTGGAGCTGTTCTGCTTAACAAGTCAGATTATTTGAAGAAACTCTCGGTAATTCTATCTGATGACAACAGATTTCAAAAACAGACGATCGAGAAAGATCCAACTAAAAACAGACGGAGCTCCAGCAAACCATATTATTGAAAAAAAGAAAGATGAATCAATTATTAATACAGAAGTATATGAACAACTTTGCCCATCCCATTCTACATCACCACGAATGTACGGAGTACCCAAAGTGCACAAAAGGGACTTCCCACTCCGCCTACCCAATATTAGAAATGATTAATTCGTCATACCACCTAATCGCAAAGTGGTTGGTAGACATTCTTGAATCGTGGAGAGAAAAACTGTTGAGATACAACCTCAGTGACACATTTGATTTCGTCGATTCAGTTAAAAATGTCAAACTCGCTGATAATATTTTATGGAATTATGCAATTTGTAGACAAGAAATAGAAGGTGTAGGGAATTGTAACCCTTTAAAGTTATTTTTTAAATTCGAGGGTTGATTTTAACAATTTTTAGATACGAATTTTCAGACTTCTGTAAAAACAGTGCTCGGCAATATGTGAACATTGACTAAAAATATTTAACGATGGCGTGTAGTATGACTACTAAAGTCCATTTAACATCTTCGCATCAATATTTCATGAAATTCTAAAGAATAGAAAATGAAACTAACTCTATACGTGCAAAACTCCTGGATAAATCAGTTCTTTGAGATCCTAAGTGGATTTTTTTTCTCTTGGTTAATGTTGATTACAATAAATTTTAACTAGCAGGGTAAATTACAGTTTTACATTAGCATGTTTATACGCTTAAGCACATAGCACTATAGTTAGTATTATTCAAACACTCATTTGGTTCATTATGGGTATAAAAAAGATGCGCCACACAAAATCTCGTAGTTTGTGCGAGGGCCCGAATACTACTTAGACGTCAAGACCGAAGCAATTTTCTGTCTCAAAATATCACCCCACCCGCCAGCAATCGACTTCATTCCTGTTCTACAAGGTAGTGGATCAGCGTCACGAACTACGTTCCTATGGTTTCTGGTGACCAAAGCATCTTCATACGCCATATGACCTATTTAGATTCTGGAGTCTACCTACAACAGAGTTTGAGAATCGGGGGTTTCCAACTTCCTTAGATAGACCTGGATGTCCACCTGTATTGTTTTAAGCATCAGGCGTGCGCTTCCGCTCTTTCATTTTTGTGAGGAACACCACATATCCCATGAAAGTGGTGAATAGTGGGGAGCTTACCTGGCAGAGGTTATGATTACGTAGTCACATGACAGCACTTCAGGAAACAAACCAAAGTTTACTCAACCTCGGATGTATTAGGTAGTTTATGGGAACTAGCACTACAGTATTGCATATTTATCAGAGCTTCTCTTATTTAAGTAAAATAACAAATCACACTCATTGAAGATAACTGATAGAATTCAGTCTGCACCGAAGAAAGGACTAGACACGTCTCACTAGTTACTAGTATCCAATCAAAGTATAAAGTGAACTTTTCAGAATTCTCCATGATTAATGATGTAATTGTATCTCATGACAACCAAGACTCTTTAATACATACTAATTTTTATTTTCTAGGCTTTCCTTCTAAGATGAAAACTTCAGCAAAAAATTCAAAGGGGCAAGAAAACTCCAGCAAACCTACAAAAACTGGAATATTTCGTGTGAGTAAAACTGCGAAAAACTCAAACACTACTCAAAGTAAAAAGAATTTACAAACGAACTCTCTTGAAAAAAGACAACAAAACAACAGTAGTTCATCAACAAAATGTGGAAAGAGCGTCAAGACCGACATCAGGGGAAATAAATCAACTCGTAATCCACTTATCAAAGAAAGATTGAATTTTAATTCGGAAAGTGATTCTGTTTGTGGCAAAGAGTCAGGTGTTAAAAGTTTACAAATTAAATATACACCATCAAATATAGAAAGATACAAAGACTTTGACAAAAGTTCATGTGATTCTACAAGTATTAAAAGAATTCAAGTAATTCCAATCTCTGAAGTATTCGAAAAGAAATACTTTTGAGATTATTAGTTCCATTTTCTGTAAAGATACTAAAAAGAGGAACCTGTAAGGTATATATATACTTATTTTAATTATCTTCACGGCGGCCTGTTTAAAACTTGGGCTACCAAACAACTTCTATCATTATAGGGCATATAATTCTCTTATTCAGTTTGTTTTAATCTATTAAAATATGACCTTCAATGGTATTTTCTACTCTCCGGAATATTTAAAATATTTTTAAAACCTGCTAATTCTCAAGATTCTGGGTGTACAAACTGCCACCGCCGCCGACCGAGAAATACAACTAATTACCTGCATTCTTCAGTCCTTGGGTCAAAACGTGTACTCCTTCACCTTTTCTAATTGGCTTTCAGTCAAGTGTTTTGGATTTCTTGTAAGAGGGAGGCAAAGAAGAAGCATCGTAATAAGGGACTGGTTTTCGCTTCAGGAGGTGAGACAGCACTGTGTCGAGCGAATTACTGTTAATTACAATTTTAATTGAAGATGTTGCACAAAGACGAACGAGAATGCAATAAATACTGCTGAAAATTCTGTACATTATATCAACACTGTCCAGAATAAAGTTATTATAATTATTGTTATTATTAATAAACGTCTACTGCTTTTGTTTGTTTGTACTGGTTGAACTATTTTCAACACTGTTTACTATATGAGATGGGTAACATTTAAATGAAGGGTATTCACTTTCAGAAAACCATTCAGTTGACTAGCAGTGGAATCCAGGATGCGCATTTAATCCCATTTTGGGACTCGTCAGCTGGATGTACCTGAAAATAGGACGGAATAAGCACACTGGATTCTACTGCTAGTCACCATCCTCCAGTATTACTTCTACCTGGTCATTGGACATCATCGAATTGTCCGAACTAGAAACCGACACGTCAACACAGGCTGAGAATTTCAGTCCAAAGGCAATCATTCAACTCATAGTTTATAGCTAAGCAAAAGAGTTTACTAAAATAGGGACATGTCCTTCTATGTAGTGAATCTGTCATCTTGTCTGACATAGTCACCAGATCTTAGTTATTCGATTGTTAGAGAAACAGAAATGACTATTAAATACTTGAAAATAAAACGCGTCAACTGTTTATGTAACCTTTTGACCTTTATTGCATTATTTTATCAGTTGCTTCTCAACTTAAGCCTAATTCAGATAACCGCAACAGTACCAACGACAACAACAACAACAAAACAGTTGACAATATTTCTGTTATGTCAGACTGGAGAACATAGTATGATTGTGCATTAAGCTGAACTCTGAAGGTCATCCACTCAATAATAATCCGCCACATTGTGCTTTATTAAGCCAGTATTCAACATCCTTGTAGTAATCAGGTTTTATGTTTATATGCGCAGAGGTCATATGTTATTAATCGAATTCATTTCATCAATTGAAAGGAAGTAATTTGCGAGAGACACAGCGCTTTACATCGCATGGCAGACTGATTTTCTTGTATGGATGAAATCCCCATTTAGATATTTAAAAGACAGAAAGAGTGAGCGAAGAAATATTTGATTTTCAGGAGTTAGTTTGTAAGGATTTGATTTATTTCGAGTTTGATCGTGAGCTGGCATGAGTAAGAGAACAACTGGAAAGCCAAGGAGTACTGGACAAGTGTCTAGTCTTGCTTCGGGACTCTCCATCAGTACGAACTCGCCACAGTTCAAATACAGGCCCTCCTGGCTACAAGGTGAGATTATGGACCATTCAGCGGCTTGGACACGATCCTATGGCCCATAAATTCCAGTTTCTACTTCTCAAAATATATGTATATTTTTATGTATTGGTTATTTTTTAGGGATTTAGTTTGATTGGTTAGTTGATGCTCACTAACGACAAGTCCTATTCAGGGAGTGCCCTGGGGTTCTACTGGGAAGCCGTGACCGGTAGGATGCAGCAAGTTGAAGGTGAGGCAGTAACTCATCAAAGAAGATATTGAGAAGTGGTCGCGCTATTTCATGAATTGGCAGAAATTAGAATTCATGCAGTGACCACTGGATCGGGTCCCAGTGTTTTAGTGGTCTACCAGCTAACTCGCCTTGTAACTAGAAGGTTCTAAGTTCGAGCCCCGATGGATGCGTACTGATGAAGAGTCCCAAACTAGGCTGACGAAACAGTTTTCCAGTACTCCGTGCAGGTTTTCCAATGGTTGTTTAACTGAGTGCATTACAAAAGAAACTTACCAATCTAGTGGTGATAAGTTCGTTAACAGTATTTACCTTTCAAGGGGAGATAATCAATCAAGGAAATCAATACAAACAACTAAAGGGTGGAAATAATTGTGAAAATTACCCAGTTGGATCGCGTTATGTATAAATTTAGTAAAATAAGGGGGTTATTACGAAACGAGTGTTCGAATTGACTGCACCATTAGCAATCAAAGATGTAGTAGTCAGAATAATAAAATAGCTAAGACAGTGATAAATTGTAAAAAAGTTTAGGGAGATGGCAAGTTCTTCAGCTTTTGCATTCATGCAACAGTGAAAAAGGTAAGGAAAATAGCTGCATAAATTTCTTCTAACACAAATGGATTCCTATGGCTTTAGCTGTATGTAAGAGACGAACTTGTAAGGCAGAAATAATACTGGTAGAAATTCGATAACTTTGCTTTAAGTGCTTTATGTATTTCAACTTTATACTCACTATCTACATGGTGTTCTAAAAACAGAGCTATGAACAGATTTTGTTTGTCCCTCGTCTAAACATGCAGTGTGATCTTCGGAAATACGAGAATAAACCTGTCTAATTGTACGCTAAATGTAACTGGCTCCGCAGAATCGATCAAAATGGTAGATACACATAGAGGAGGCGAGATTAGGTAGTTTATCCTAATTTTTCGAACGTAGAAATGGATTGGTTGTGTAGGGACAGCGTGTCTGCTGCATTAAACGCCTTTATTTCTTAATTTTTCAGGGGTTGTATTACTATTTCGCCAATGTTATCACCAATAAACTTCAGTTTTCTGAACAAAGCTGTTTCTGTACTGATTTTTCTTGGCGCTGGATTCATATTTTTATCAATGAATTTATCTGGTTAAGCGTTTTTCTCCTGAGTAATTCTATGGTAATCTTGAGTTCTTCATTTAGAGAGTCGTCTGAAAGGATTATCTTAGCTCCATGAGAAAAAACTACACTAAGTTGAGCAAAACTCAAAAAGCAGTTTCTTAAAGCTAAGTCTTTATTTCTTGATGAACAAAAGTATTTGTTAGTTTATGGTTAGGTAGTCAGCTCTCTTTTAACTGGTTATTGGTGAAATCACTCCACTAATATAAGTAATTATTACAGACTAAAATGAAGATTTTTATTAAATATATAAAGTGTCGTTTTGAAGGGATTTGATTGGTTACAGGTTTGATCAGGAGTTGATTTCAGTTAGAGAACCATCGGAAAACCAGGGAGTACTTGGAAGCTATATCGTCCTAGTCTGGGACTCTTCAACAGTATACACGCACACTGAGATTTGAACCTACAACCTTCCGGTTACAAGACTAGCAAGCTCGTAGACCACTCAACCACTGGGACTTGATCTAACGGCCAGTCCATGAATTCCATCTTCTGCTAATTCACGAGATATATAGCACAGCCTCCAGACTATGTCATTGGCGAGCAACTGTCCTCTTAACTGCCTTGGTTTCTGTTTTTGTCGAAATAGACTTTGAAGTAGAAAGCAAAACACAGTTAATTTATCTTTTACCATCAACCTATTTATTTGATCGTATGAGCGTATATGTAACAACAGAAGTCAAGGGCCAGACAACATATCATTTATTGAGAAAATCAAAAGATATTTATATATTTATATGTACATTATTATTAGTGTTATTGTTAGCAGGGAGATAACGTCTTCTGATTGGTTGTCTTCTTGCTCAAGGTTATTCTGTCCTCTCTCTGTTGCCGTTTCTTAGACAGTCCGTTGATATATCTGCGAATCGTATCCGCCCACGCTAAATCTTCTGTGATTGGTTGTTGATTTCCTCAAGGTTAAGCTTTGTTATTGGGACGTAAACATTGACTTCAATTTCTGTCTATAATTTCGTCTTGCAGCCAGCTCTCATCACATACAACCCTTTAGTGAATTGCCTGAAAAGACCTGACATTTTTCTTAAACTATGATCAATAGTGAACTATAATTCTGGTCGTTTTGAACGGTGTATCAACATGTCTTGTAATATCAATCACTGAGATGTGTAAGTGCATAAATAAGAATAGAATGTAAATAATTTTAAAAACAGAGTAATAAATAAGACAATAACTAGTGAATTTGCATAATGTGCAAAAATGGTCCGAGTTTTAAAATCAGTTCCTTTGACAGACAGTTAAAAATATTTTTTGTCTGAAATAAACAAATATGAAGAAGTCTGATCTCCTACTGACAGAGTCGGAATTCAAACGCCTACTGCTAATGTGTACCATGGATGTGCAATTCCAATTCGACAACACTCTTTACCGCCAAATAGATGGTGTAGCTATGGGCAGTCCACTTAGCCCTGTTTTAGCAGATATATTCATGTCCAACCTTCAAAGAACAAAGTTGAAGCATGCAATCGACGAAACAACTTCTTACTCTCGATATATCACAGATGATACATTTGTAGTGTGCAACAATGAAAGTCATGCTTCCCACCTATTCAGATTATTCAGTGACGCAAATAACAATACTGAATTTACCATGGAACATGAAAATGATGGAAAGTTCCACTTCCTTGACATTGTCACGCAACGCCTAGAAGATGGTAGTCTTCAAAAGTTAATTTATCCAAAGCCTACATGGAAAGGACAATACTTACATTTTAATAGCTTTTGTCCAAATAGCTTTAAATGCGGACTAGTCAAAACTCTGTACTATAAAGCCAGGAGATTATGCTCTATAGAGAAATTAGAGGAAGAAATTGAGTTTCTTGAAAAGATGTTGAAGAGCAATGGGTACCCTCAAAGGTTCATCAACAAGTATGGAAGATCTGAAGTCACAAATGTAAGACAAATCACAATAGGAAAAA